CTTTGATACAACCCTCACTGTGATTGCTGTGACACGCGCACATGCATAACTCCCTCACTCACCGATCACAAAGGCCTTCCACCCCCAAGAGGAATTTTTGCTTAAAATTACTCAAGTTAATTAAGAGACCTTTTCGCATTTTATACGAGTCGTAAGGTTACCCTTTTTACTCAACACAACACTACTTCACCGAAAATAGAAAGAAAGAGAAAAAACCTCTGACACGTTGAAAGTCTGATTTAATTGAATTGCACTTTAACCTGGTGCCACGCATTCTTCAAAGAACATTTGAGCAATTTTCATACTTTTTACCTTTGAAAAGATCGGACTGAAATGAATGTCATCAAATAAAACTATTACGTAAAATACGGGCTCCTGATTTAAATAATTAAACTTAGAACAAAACACGATGAAGTCTATTTAATCAGTGAGCAAGATGTGAAGAAATTGATGAATTCACGCAGCGTTGTGTCTAGAATATAGAGAATTTTATTAGAATTTAGAATTTTAATTTTCCAAACAGAACAGCTGTGGAGCGAGGGTGTTTCACAGTTTCTAGATGCCATAATTCACTCTTCTCTATCGATAAAGATGCTCCGAAGCGAGTGTTTCTTTTTGTCACAAACTTGAAGAATACGCAAAGTTCTTAGTGAAAGGACTCGATGTTCATTCCGGTAGGTGCCCTCCATAAAAGCCTGGGTATAAAAGTCATGCATGATAGGATTCCAGTCAAATTCGAGGACCATTCATCCGACGGCAGTGGAGAACACTCCGACGTCCACACAAAATCAACATCGTGTTCGAAAGAACTGCCTTGGAAATTCGTGTAAAGTGCGCATGAGAAGAAAGAGACTGCTTTAGCCGTAAATGTAAAAACGTAAAAACCGTCCAGAAATGAAAGCTTCTCTTTTGTTTAATATCCTGGAAACAATAGCCGATAACTTGTCAGCTCTAATTGAATTTACTCCCATATAAAAAACAGAAGTGTTAAGTTACCATTTGTAACTAAAGATAGCAAACATCTCGTGGGAAAGAGTGGTGACGATTCGTCAGCTCTGAATTTACTCCCTTGTGAAAAACACCCGTTACCCTTTGTAACTAAAAACTAAAAATATCTCGTTATATTTGCATGCAACAAGAACAAAACAATCGTTACCTGCACTTACTATTGTAAAC